GCAACCTCTAACTCCTGGGCTTAGGTGATTCTCTTGCCTCAGCCTCCCAAGTAGCTGGGACTACAGGCACCCGCCACACACAAAGCTATTTTTCTGTTGCAATTTGGCAGGGCTGGGTTCAAACCCACCATCCTCAGTACATGGGGCTGGCGCCCTACCCGCTGAGCCACAGGTGCCGCCCCATACTTCCCTACTATTCTTTTCCTTCACTCACAGTTGTTTAGTCCCTGTCTAACAACAGGTGGGGAGTGGGGCTGTGTGAGGGAGGAGAGATGAAGAGATAGGCCAGTTTTTGCATGGCTGGGTGGCTTTACATTCTCAGCTTGGCAGATGGTTAAAATGGACTATTTTAGGATTTTTTTTTTTTTTTTTTTTTTTTTATGGAGACAGAGTCTCACTTTGTTGCCTTTGGTAGAGTGCCATGGTATCATAGCTCACAGCAACCTCTAATCCTTGGGCTCAAGCAATTTTCTTGCCTTAGCCTCCCTAGTAGCTGGACTACAGGCGCCCGTTGCCACAACACCTGGTTATCTTTTTTTTTGGTTTGGTAGGCCTGGGCTGGGTTCGAACCCATCAGCCCTGGAGCATGTGGCCAGTGTCCTAACCACCAAATATGGGTGCCTCCCATCTTTTAGGAACTTTCTTTCTTTCTTCTTTTTTTTTTTTTTTTTCCAAAAAGGAAGATTTCTTTTCTTTCTTTCCTTTTTTTTTTTTTTTTTTTTAATCATAGCAGTGTACATTTTAATACTATCATGGGGTACTTTCAATGACTCTTGAGAGGTTCTTGCTAGACCCTTCACCCTCTCCTGTCATTCCCATGATCTAGACAGATACATCTCTATTTTGGAAATAAATCATATTTTACAAGAACCAAGACAATGTTGGCTGACCCATGAGAAACACTCATAAAACCTTGCATTCATAAACTTAATTATCCTAACTTAACAGCTTTTACTGGCTTATCCACCAAAGCCATTTAAGTCAGTTGGTCTTGGGCCTTGAACATTCTGGATTAGAGTCTGCTTTAACTTTCTTGGATCTGAGTCATGCACTACCTTTACTCATGCAACCACAGGGAACATACATCAAGCTGTCAGAATGGTCCTTGTGAAGCTGGGTAACCGTACAGTTACTGTCCTAATTGTGGTACTTTCCATTAATAATTATGTCATAAACCGTTATGAGAAAACTGGGGGAGTGGGCATCCAACCACTCTATCTTGACTCAACTTTTTATGCTTCCTTCTACTCTGGTCCCCAAAAGGGGTTAGAGAGGTCTCTCTTAGATTTCCTTTTATATCCTTGATCTGGCTGGCTGAGGAGAATAGGTTCGAGTCCATTTCTTTTTTCGTTTCCTTTTAAAAAAAGCCTTCAGATCATGAATGAGGCCATTTCTTATGCTCATGGAGATGTGGGTGAGGGTTCCTATACATGCTTTGGTATGTAAATATCTTCTGTCAACTCTAAAGGATGAAAGGCCCTTCTAACACACACATACTTAAATATGTGTATATATTTATACATACATAGTATTTATTTTTAAATCAAAACAGGATAATGTTTGTATTGCCTGTCTAACCTTTTTCACTTAATAATATTTTTTCCTAATGACTATATATAGATCTACCTCATTCTTTTTAAAGGGCATATCCTATGTTAAAACATCTATTCTCCTCCTAAGTTGTAGGTTTCCAATTTTTTTGCTATTTCACACAGTGATGCAATGAATACCCTTATATAAACATCTTAGACACCAAGCTTATATTCTAGAGAGTGTGTAATACTAAGCATTTTGATAGATTCTATCAAATTATTCTCTTAAAAGATTCTATCAAACTCACATAATAATGTGAAATATAGCTCATTTCACCCATACCATTCCCAATACAGGATGTGATAACATTTTGATTTTGCCAATTTGATTGATGTACCTTGTCGATCTTTCAATCTTTATTTATTTCATTATAAGTTAGCTTTAGCATTTTCCCATATATTTATGGGCTATTTTATTTCTTCTTTGAACATTTCAGGGTTTCAAGGATTTATAGATATGCTAAAATTGAACATAAAGTTGTGTGGCAAGTACATACATGCATTTTTCTGGAGAGAGAACTATATCTTTCACTAAATTCTTATATTATATCCAGTCTGTTTGCCAACAGTCATTTCTACCATTTCACTATCCAGCATAATACAAGTATTATCTTCCTAAGTCACTGATTTCATCATGTTCACACACAAAAAAATCTGGTAGCACTTTCCTTTTAAAATTACCCTTAATAAAAATCACATTACACATGACTAAAAGGTGTTTTATATAAGTAAGAGGTGTTTACTATTTTATATAGTGAATTCAAAGTAAATACATTCATGCATAAAATTATGGGTAGATGAGTAGGTCCTAAGACCTTATATAACAAATGATCTCATTTTTGTTAAAAAATATTCCCACAGGTACTAAAGAAGATGTAGTTGTTTCTGGGAGGACAGTATCATGGATGTACATTTTTGATTCTTCCATGATAAGCATGCAGTGTTATTTGAAAAGAAACATAAGAAAGAAAGTATACATTTTTTACTTAAACATTTTCATAATTAAAAAATTAACATAACAGAAAGTGAATTTCCAATTACTAGTTCATATGTTTAAGACTTTTGTGTCTAGTAGGAAGGACCTGAGTTGTGTAGAGATGACTGAAGAGTGTAATAAGTGAAGGTTTATCATTCATCAGCTTTAAATACACTGAACTGCTGGAGCAATACATCCTTAACTAGGATGCACATTTAAAAACTAAAATGGAATTATACAATAATACTGTTTTGTATTTTCTTTTTTACATTATTGCATATCATGAATACATTTCTATGTTGGCAAATATATTTCCATGTATCTTTTAAAGGACTGTAAGATATCCAATTTTGTATGTACCAAAGTACTTTTTCGTTTTTGAGATGGAATCTCACTGTTGCCCCAGCTAGAGTACAGTGGCATCATCACAGCTCACAGCAACAGCAAACTCCAGGGCTCAAGCAATCCTCCTGCCTCAGCCTCCTGAGTAGCTGGGACTATAGACACATCAAATCTGACTCAATTTTTCTATGTTTTGTAGAGATGGGAGTCTCACTATTGCTCAGGCTGGTTTTGAACTTCTGAGATCAAACGATTCTCTACTTCAGCCTCCACAGGTTCCAGGATTATAGGGATGAACCACTGCACCCAATGGACCTAAGTATTTTTAATCAATTCACATTTAGATTGTAGCTTCTTGTTATCACAGACAACACAGCAAGAATAACTAGTTGGCTGAATATGAATTAATTAAAAATTTTAAAAACAAAGTTCAAGTCAGAAAACTGAAAACAGATCAAGATACAGTACTGATTCTGACATAAAATTAAAATTATATGTAGAAAAATTAATATTATATATGTGATTAAAATTAAATTATATATGATTGGGAAGATTAATTTTTAACCAATTTATCATTTCAACCAAATTATCAATTGGACTGCTTTAT